AACCACATCTCTGAGACCTCAAGAAATTGTTTGGCCTGCTTACCGATTGTCCAGGACTCACAGCCATATGTTAAAACTGTAGCAAGCAAGAATTCTTTTTCTAACTCTCAATGACAGAGACATATTGCATTCCATTTTCTTCAATTGATAAAATTGAAAATTATGGATACAATTAAACCAGTTATCATTAATTGTTAATGAGGATAATACGATATCAGTCAAATGTTTACATACTATGTCAATCATCATTGTTTTTTCATTGTTTTTTTTTAAATATCATTTTCATCGCACATCAGACATTCATCATCGTTAAGTGTTAATGAAGATAACAAGACTAAGATAAAGCTGAGAAACACACACACACACACACACACACACACACACACACACACAGACAGCACATACAAATGCACAATAATTATCACTGACACAATCAGTTTTCATTAGATCTTATGAAGGTAATTACACTGTGATAAAGCTTAGGGGAAAACATACAAGATTTATCATTAACACACAGAGACATCGTTAAGTGTTGGGAAGCAGATAAGAATATAATAAAGCTTAGAAACGCATACACGTGCGGCCACGCAGACACACACAAGGATTGTCACGTATAGACACTTTCAACACAAAGTGTTAAGCCGATATGTAAAGACCGTTATGGTTGACCATGCCAAAGACTACTAACAATCAAGGACCAAGTCTGTATTCTTGTCTGGCGCATGTTTTGCGGCCTTGCGGAGTATCTATCTATTTGTGTTCCGAGAAATAAAAGAAATATACCTAAAAAAAAAAACAATACTAAGGCAGCCATTTAAACCTAGTGGGACAATTGCCATCCAGAACAAAATCCCTAAGATCCAATCATTTCCTTACATGAAAGAATCAGACCACAGTGTTTAGACTGGAAACTGGACACAAAAGACTCCCGCATCATATGTACAGACAATAAATCAATACTGGGAACTTCGCCTATGTAAACGACAGACAACCCACAATATTGAATTTGTGGTTAGAAATCTTTTTCTTCTTCAGCATTCCGACTCCTTGAGGTTCATTGCTGCAGATATCACCCGCCTCCATTCATCTCTCTGGTTATCTCCCCCTTTGCTGTGGTGAGGGAACTTGTGTTTCTCAACGACCTTGAGAGCTATGCCGGCCTTAGCGTAGCTACCAACAGGGACTGCCGAGCCGGAAAGGTCAAAGGGCAGAAAACAGACAAAGAGAGACACCCTAGTCCTCCACGTTTGGCAGACACCCCCACCTTCGCAAAACTTTTATCTCGTCACAAAACATGTATCTAAACCTCAGTTTTGAGAACAGGAAGAAGAGGTAGAGGTCATGCATCACATCACAAGCTTGATAAAGGTCCGTCGCCTTCTGGTGTGAAAATCACAGGAGGGGAGTGTGAAAAGAGGACACATTCGTCTCATTACTGTGTTCCATCAATATCTTCATTTTCAATTTGAGCTTTTAAGTGTATGTCAAGCCTCCCTTCCCACCACCATTATCAACAGACTGCGCATTGTACACATGTCATAGTGCTCGCAAACAAATCTTCCATTCCTTCTTACAATGTATAATCAACATCATCATCAATTTACACTTTTACTGTTAAGTGTTGTGGGGAGGAATAGTTTGAGATACATTCTTTGATGGGCAGCATTGACTACTGTCATTCCGTGTCGATGTAGAAACTCTTTGATGACATCAGTCCAGATCTCCTAGGGCGGCCTCTTGCTCTCATTTTAGATCTGTGCATGTGTAGCGCCTGCACTGGTAGTTGTTCTGGCTGCATTCTTACTCAATGACCAAACCATTTCATCTTCTGTTTCTCAATGAATTTGCTGCATGGTGTTGTTCCTATAGTCTGTCTGATAATATCATTTCTAACTTTTGTCTCGGATGTTTAAGTTGGCGGTTTTTCTCAGGCATCTAATTTCACAGGCGGTTTTTTTTCTCTCCATATATTAACATTTGATAATGTCCAAGTCTGACACTGGTAGCACAGTGTTGGTATGAATAGTATCTTTATAATCTCTCAACAATGTGTCATCAATAAAAATCATAGATAGAATCCAGTTAGCACATTTAGCTTCCTTAAACAGCGTTCGTTGTAGAGTTTCACTGGGGACGTCCTGGATTCCCGGAGTCTATTTGTTTCCCATTTCAGTTCCTGTTTGTATATTAACTGTGCGGTTTGCCTCATCGTGCACCCAATAATGTACCTTGATTGGCTTGTACGTGTATATACCAGCTGTAAGGGAACAGAAAACGGGGAAGACCAAAACAGAGCCATCATCTGGAAATCTTAACTATTGGCCCAATGAAATCAAGTGGCAACAAACCGTCAGACACGAAGAGCTATAAAGTCTGCCCTAGGCGCCGCCCTATGTTCAAGAGGAAAGACTAACTAAGGCTAACCAAACAACCGTAATACAAACATTTCTCTGATTATTCTCATTCTGTGCCGTAACCAAAATATTTTTAAAATTAGGCATATTTTCTGTTTCATATTTCCCTATTTTCCGTTGTGTTTCAAAATGAGTCTCTCTCTCTCTCTCTCACGCACACGCGCATGCGCACGCGCGCACACACACACACGCGCACGCATGCACGCACACACACATACACACTAACACATTAGATAGCAAAAGCCTATTAATGTTTTGATAAAGACGACTGCTTTACACAATTTGTTAACACACCTGATGTCAGTCAGTGTCCACAATTTACACACCAATGGTAAGAGTGAGTGATGGGACTGAGACGAATGTGTCCTCTTTTGACTCTCCGCTCCTGTGATTTTCACACCAGAAGGCGACGGACCTTCATCAAGCTTGTGATGTGATGTGATGTGATGTGATGTGATGTGATGTGATGTGATGTGATGTGATGCATGACCTCTACTTCTTCTTCCTGTTCTCGAAACCGAGGCTTAGATACATGTTTTGGGACGAGATAAAAGTTTTGCCAAGGTGGGGGTGTCTGCCAAACGTGGAGGACCAGGGTGTCTCTCTTTGTCTGTTTTCTGCCCTTCGACCTTTCCGGCTCGGCAGGCCCTGTTGGTAGCTACGCTGAGGTCGGCATAGCTCTCAAGGTCGTTGAGAAACACAAGCTCCCTCACCATAGCATTATACTGATACTGTCAAATTCTTTCTCCTCTTCCTTCTACACACAGTTCCTCTCTTCTTCTCCTTCTCATTGTTTTCCTTCTCTTTCTCGTCCCCCTCTTCCTTCCTTCCTTTCTTCCTTCTTCTTCCTCCTTCTCATGCTCTTCTTCTTCTTCTTCTTCTTCTTCTTCTTCTTCTTCTTCTTCTTCTTCTTCTTCTTCTTCTTCTTCTTCATCTTTTCTTTTGTCTTCTTCTCCTTTGAAAAGGCGGCTGGCACCTTGTGTTTTGGTCTATAGCCTGGCGGCCTTGTCTCTGCATTTTACGGCATGCTTCTTGTGCGAGATGAGGGAGTGGGTCGGTATATTCTTGTTCCCCGTCTCCTTCTACAGGGCTCCGGAACCCACACTGGAACTGTCTGATACGACTGTCTCCCCTGTGAGTGATCTTGTTATATTTGTCTCCCCTGTGAGTGATCTTGTTATATTTGTCTCCCCTGTGAGTGATCTTGTTATATTTGTCTCCCCTGTGAGTGATCTTGTTATATTTGTCTCCCCTGTGAGTGATCTTGTTATATTTGTCTCCCCTGTGAGTGATCTTGTTATATTTGTCTCCCCTGTGAGTGATCTTGTTATATTTGTCTCCCCTGTGAGTGATCTTGTTATATTTGTCTCCCTGTGAGTGATCTTGTTATATTTGTCTCCCCTGTGAGTGATCTTGTTATATTTGTCTCCCCTGTGAGTGATCTTGTTATATTTGTCTCCCCTGTGAGTGATCTTGTTATATTTGTCTCCCCTGTGAGTGATCTTGTTATATTTGTCTCCCCTGTGAGTGATCTTGTTATATTTGTCTCCCCTGTGAGTGATCTTGTTATATTTGTCTCCCCTGTGAGTGATCTTGTTATATTTGTCTCCCCTGTGAGTGATCTTGTTATATTTGTCCTCCCCTGTGAGTGATCTTGTTATATTTGTCTCCCCTGTGAGTGATCTTGTTATATTTGTCTCCCCTGTGAGTGATCTTGTTATATTTGTCTCCCTGTGAGTGATCTTGTTATATTTGTCTCCCCTGTGAGTGATCTTGTTATATTTGTCTCCCCTGTGAGTGATCTCGTTATATTTGTCTCCCCTGTGAGTGATCTTGTTATATTTGTCTCCCCTGTGAGTGATCTTGTTATATTTGTCTCCCCTGTGAGTGATCTCGTTATATTTGTCTCCCCTGTGAGTGATCTCGTTATATTTGTCTCCCCTGTGAGTGATCTTGTTATATTTGTCTCCCCTGTGAGTGATCTTGTTATATTTGTCTCCCCTGTGAGTGATCTTGTTATATTTGTCTCCCCTGTGAGTGATCTTGTTATATTTGTCTCCCCTGTGAGTGATCTTGTTATATTTGTCTCCCCTGTGAGTGATCTCGTTATATTTGTCTCCCCTGTGAGTGATCTCGTTATATTTGTCTCCCCTGTGAGTGATCTTGTTATATTTGTCTCCCCTGTGAGTGATCTTGTTATATTTGTCTCCCCTGTGAGTGATCTTGTTATATTTGTCTCCCCTGTGAGTGATCTCGTTATATTTGTCTCCCCTGTGAGTGATCTTGTTATATTTGTCTCCCCTGTGAGTGATCTCGTTATATTTGTCTCCCCTGTGAGTGATCTCGTTATATTTGTCTCCCCTGTGAGTGATCTTGTTATATTTGTCTCCCCTGTGAGTGATCTTGTTATATTTGTCTCCCCTGTGAGTGATCTTGTTATATTTGTCTCCCCTGTGAGTGATCTTGTTATATTTGTCTCCCCTGTGAGTGATCTTGTTATATTTGTCTCCCCTGTGAGTGATCTCGTTATATTTGTCTCCCCTGTGAGTGATCTCGTTATATTTGTCTCCCCTGTGAGTGATCTTGTTATATTTGTCTCCCTGTGAGTGATCTTGTTATATTTGTCTCCCCTGTGAGTGATCTTGTTATATTTGTCTCCCCTGTGAGTGATCTCGTTATATTTGTCTCCCCTGTGAGTGATCTTGTTATATTTGTCTCCCCTGTGAGTGATCTCGTTATATTTGTCTCCCCTGTGAGTGATCTCGTTATATTTGTCTCCCCTGTGAGTGATCTTGTTATATTTGTCTCCCCTGTGAGTGATCTTGTTATATTTGTCTCCCCTGTGAGTGATCTTGTTATATTTGTCTCCCCTGTGAGTGATCTTGTTATATTTGTCTCCCCTGTGAGTGATCTTGTTATATTTGTCTCCCCTGTGAGTGATCTTGTTATATTTGTCTCCCCTGTGAGTGATCTTGTTATATTTGTCTCCCCTGTGAGTGATCTTGTTATATTTGTCTCCCCTGTGAGTGATCTTGTTATATTTGTCTCCCCTGTGAGTGATCTCGTTATATTTGTCTCCCCTGTGAGTGATCTTGTTATATTTGTCTCCCCTGTGAGTGATCTTGTTATATTTGTCTCCCCTGTGAGTGATCTCGTTATATTTGTCTCCCCTGTGAGTGATCTCGTTATATTTGTCTCCCCTGTGAGTGATCTTGTTATATTTGTCTCCCCTGTGAGTGATCTTGTTATATTTGTCTCCCCTGTGAGTGATCTTGTTATATTTGTCTCCCCTGTGAGTGATCTTGTTATATTTGTCTCCCCTGTGAGTGATCTTGTTATATTTGTCTCCCCTGTGAGTGATCTTGTTATATTTGTCTCCCCTGTGAGTGATCTTGTTATATTTGTCTCCCCTGTGAGTGATCCTGTTATATTTGTCTCCCCTAGATCATTGTCAGTGTTGTGTATGCCTCTCACACTTTCGTATTTCTATCAGATTACGCCAAGCACCAATCATCTAAATTCGATAACTAAACAACGGGTGTCTTGTCGACATTCATCTAGTTTACATGATTAACGCACAAACGCGTCATCTAAATTAGATAATCTAAAATATGTGCCACATAAAGTGTCAGGTCCAGATTTTGTGACAAAAATTATTCCATGATGATTTTGCTGAATTGTTTTTTCCTACTAGGCTCTATTTTTTTCGTCTTGTCATGAGAAAGAAATCACTAGAGAACATCATGACAGTGGTTTGAGGTTTGAACAACTGATCAACATCACGGCACACGGGTAGTAGCCCATAATTGCTCCGTTATTCTTCTAACTAAAGTCTGAGTCAGAAGAAGCTCAGCACAGTGTAAGGCTCTGTAGCACCAGCGAGGATCCTGAAATACTTAGGGTAAATTTTCAACTCCAAATTTTGCCAACGCAGCGCCGTTAGGCTACTCTTTTTCGATTTCCAAATGCCATTGTGGACACTAGCATCCGATCTGACTACGCAGAGACCAGAGAGAATTACTAGAAGTCCAATCAACGTGAACAAATCCCAGCCCTTAGTGGGAATTGAACACGAAACCTCTAGCACTCGAGGCGGACACTACGCCTCGAGACCACGTAGCCTTCTTTGTAACGATGAAAGGCTGAAAGGGAAAAAGAGACACATAGTATGGAATGTCATCTGTGCCAGAAATGATTGAAAGTACAAGAGACTGAAGGTTTTGGGTTGACATGATTGACTAAGAATACCAGAAGGTATGGAACATTATCTGTGTCAGAAATGACTGAAAGTACAAGAGACTGAAAGATGTTGATAGACATGAATGACTAACAATGCCAGAAGGTATGACAGATCATCTGTGTCAGAAATGATTGAAAGTACAAGAGATAATGCTTTTTAAATTCCCAGGCACAATTTGGGAAGGGGGAGGGGGTAAAAGATCCCGTGCCCTCTAATCTCCAAGGCACTATTAGGGAAGATGGAAGAAGGGAACAGGCTCACTCATATAATACATTACACATAAGCCAATTGTTAGAAGCGTCTTGTCAACACACGAACTGATGACGCAGGCACTGGGAGACCACAAGAAGCAGAGAAGCCGAAACTACCAGACAATGTGCAGATTACCACGTTCACCCCTAACTCCTTAATTAGAACTCGTATCAATGTCTAAAGAACTAGACTAACCGCTCTGGAAGAATGACTGAAAACACATTACCACACATACACACACATCCAAACTATCGCTAACTCACTCACTCACTCTCTTACTCACTCACTCACCCACCCATTCACCAACCCACACCCCTACTCACTCACTCACTCACTCACCCACCCATTCATCAACCCACCCACCCACCCACTCACTCACCCACCAATTCACCAACCCACCACTCACTCACTCACCCACCAATTTACCAACCCACCACTCACTCACTCACTTACCCATTCACCAACCCACCCACCCACTCACTCATTCACTCACCCACCCATTCACCACCCCACCCGCCCACTCACTCATTAACTCACACACTCATTCGCTCTCTTACTCACTCATTAACTAGCTCACTCACTTTCTCTCTCTCTCTCTCTCTCTCTCTCTCTCTCTCTCTCTCTCTCTCTCTCTCTCTCTCTCTAACATATACATACAATATCAATGAAATTGAGTATTCCTTATCACCAACTTCCCCATTTGCTGTTGTTTGTGTCCAGATTGTTCACGGAGAAGCAGCAGCAGCTCTACAATCGAGTCCTGCTTCTATTTCACAACAAAAATGATACACAGTGTTTCTACGAGCTTCATCAAGAGACAACTGATTAAATGGTTCGGACATGTGTGAAGACTACAACCAGACATGGCACCACAGAGAATCCTGCTCCATAGACACAGTGGATGCACATCTAGAGGTTGATCACGATCGAGCAATAGACAAATGGAACTATCCAATGTTGTAAATATCAGCATGCACGTTCGCACACACCAAATTTTGCACCCGGCGCCTCTTCAAAACCTGACGCTGAAAGGCAGAACAGAATCACTTGTCAGCTGGCGTTGGCGTTCTTGCATCTCCACAGATCTCGGTCTTTGGTGTTCTGGATTAATTCCACTGTTGATTTTCCTCCATGCACCTGTCTTAAGCCATCCACCATCATTTTTCTTGACCTGCCTCTGCCTCTTCCAACAGTGATCTTCCCTGTCTTAAGCCATCCACCATCATTACCTCTGCTGTGACGAGCTGGTCTGGACAGCTGTTTCTGTCCTTTTAAAAAGTGCTTTGTTTAGATAATATTATTACCAAAGTTCTAAACATTTTCCTATTGCTTTTAATTAGCATAATAACACTGGACTAATTAAGAAATTTCTTACCCCTTTCCTAATGCTTCATTGTAGCAAAATTATAATTAAAGAGTTGAAAGGTAATAAAGGCGAAGAGTAGTGCAAGGGGAACTGAAGAGTAACTTCCTCCTTTTTAAAGACTTCCTGTTCCCTTTTCAATTCAGAAATTGACCGGTTCAGACTAAAGTTCTTAGTCCGCCTGTGGTCCAATTTTCTGTTTGAATTCCCTGCCAGGGGTGAGTTAAAAGAATAAGTTTAATTTGATGTATTGCTGCTTATTCCTCTGAATTAATTCCACAGGTTAAATTCTGAAATTTAATGCCCACATGGCTCAAAAACTATGATAAATTTCTTTATCCTTACTAACCACGTTTATGATCTAGTATGTACATGTATGCAAACATATTATCTATTTGATGATTGAATTAATGTTTATTTGCTACTAGAAACGTGCATTGGTATTTTTAATAATTATACTTATATTAATTAAGTGATAATTATGTCCTCATGTGAAATCTCAGCCAGTTCCTGTTTCCAGCTTAGACAATTAAAAATAGGAATGAAGTGTATATTCATTATACCTAATCCCTAAATCACTGTCTTGCTCTAATTTAGATTTAGTCCAGATAATTCTGAGACTAGTTTAAGAGCTTGGAAAGTGAATAACACAGTGAGGCTGAATTTAATATTCACACTGTCAGAAAAGAATTGTAATTATTATTGTTGTAGATATATTTCCCTATTACTAGGAATACATTTCAGTTTTACAGCAGCTGGCCTTACAAATGCAATAATTATATTTCACCCCTCACCACTTCTAAACTCTGCTGAATAAGATCAGCACATGTGTGGATTTAGATTTAAACTGGAGTGAGTGTTGTATATTTTATGTTAATACTGTGACAGATGGAAAGCCCATTGTCATCTATGATTGTATTTTGACATCTATCTCATCACCCAGTATATTGATAGAGATATGTCAATCCCATTTATTTTAAAACAGTGCAAAGCACCTGTTATGAGTTCCTGGTCTTGGTAAACTCACTCCCTGTTTCTCATTCATTGTGATGTGAACCCATGTGGTTAAAATGAGAATATTGTGAAATATGACTGTGTATGTCTGTGTGTGTAAGCATGTTAACCCTTCAAAGGAGTACTAGTGTGCAGACATCAGAACAATTTACACTGAGGAATGTCCTTTCTTTTTGTGTGCTGTAAACTCTTGTTCTTGAGAGTATTCATGAAACTGGTTTCCTAAATATTTCCCCATCAGGATTATGGACCATGTTCTGTACACATTCCCATTCTATACCAGTAGAATGTGAACACCTGTTACTATCCTACTCCATATATATGTGTGTAGTGTAACATTTTAAAGACTGGAGGTATTGTTGTCTCCAGTTAGAACCTTCCTGACTGTTTGTATAAGGACTGTTCTATTATTCTAGTTCCAGATTGTATTCCAGATGGTAAATACAGGTGGGAGTCCAGAAGTAAATCCTAAGCTTAGCTGCAGATACCCGATTGTCCGGACTGGACTGGAAGATTCGGCCTGCCTGATGTGTTTCCGAAGCTTAGTCAGAAGCTGACAACAGAAACCTAAGCCACAGCTAAGTGGACAGTGTTCACTAACCTTGTATAACAGGATTTTATATCCACAGCCATTTTGTTTATTATTTTGATATCCAATTCTGAATAAATGTTAGTTTTAATGTTCCTACAGTTTTATGAAGTTTCATTTTAACTGTGAACATTGTCAGTGAACTTAAGAACATTTAAATATACAATCTTAATTACAGCAGGGAATAAGATGTGGGCAAACCCCGAATCCTCTCATTTAACCAGCAAGGCTGGGGTTACTATAAGACTTTATGATGACGCACTGTTTGTAATTCCCTCTGTAAAGTGCACATAGTGCATTCGCTAGTTAAAGCGAAGTTACCCGCCACATCTGCCTCTTCAAACAGTGATCTTCCAGTTGTCACGCTATTTTCCAGTGCTCTTTTTCTCATCACAAGACCAAAGAACTGTGCCTCCTTCTCACTGCTACAACAGGACAAGAGAAGAACAAGAAGAAAGGACATGATTACCTTGATCTGGACAATGTAGTCTCCTCTTTGCAGAAACTGCATGCACAGGTACTTGATATCATGACTGTCATCCTTGTGAATGATGAGATACTTGTCCTGTACCCGCTGCAGGCACTCTCTGGTGATCTTGATGTTGTGTTCGTTGAGGCTGATCAGCGTTGGCTGGGGGGACAGGCAGTGTGAAATATTGAGACCAGAGTGGAGTGGAAGAGTGGGTGTAATGTGGTAAACAGCCGGGGCTTGGCGATGGAAGTGTGGATGTAATGTGGGTATCAGCCAGAGCTGGGCAATGGAAGTGTGGATGTAATGTGGTTAACAGCCGGGGTTGCGCGGTAAAAGTGTGGATGTAAGGTTGTTAACAGCCGGAGCTGGGTGATGGAAGTGTGGATGTAATGCAGTTAACAGCCGGGGTTGCGCTGTGGAAGTGTGGATGTAAGGTTGTTAACAGCCGGAGCTGGGCGATGAAGTGTGGATGTAATGCGGTTAACAGCCGGGGCTGAGTGATGGGTTCTGATTAAGAAAGAGATACAGAGCGAGACAGTGAAACAAACACTGAGAGGGACAGAGGGGAGATAGCGACTGGCAATTATAAAAAGGAGCGAGAAAGAAAAATGATGATGATGAACAAAAATACACTCACTGACACAGAGAGAGAGAGAGAGAGAGAGAGAGAGAGAGAGAGAGAGAGAGAGAGAGGAAAGAGAGAGAGAGAGAGAGAGAGAGAGAGAGAGAGAGAGAGAATAGATACAGTAAATCTGGGAGAAATCTGGCTTTTCTGCCATCCTCTAGGCGTATACCCAGACCACACGGAGTTCGCCACCCTGTCGCCGCGAAGTCAAGTTTAACCGACTACGCTAGAGAGTCGGGCATTATAAAGTAAGGGTAACTATACAATCCATTTTTTTAGACTTCCCGGCCGGTGGCTGGTTTATTATTTTATAGGCGTAGGACTCAAGGGACATAAACTTTGTTTCAGTGTACCAGGTTATTTAACTATTATTTGTTTATTTATTATTATTTATATTATTCTTACTATGATTATTATTGTTGTTATTATTATTACTACTACTACTGAATAGCACATAAAAAAAAACTTTTTGAACCAATATGAAATGTCTAAACAATTGTTTGAATAATAATAATAATAATAATAATAATAATAATAATATTAATAATAATAATAATAATAATAATAATAATAATAATAATAATAATAATAATAATAAATAAAACATTCATACGAAAGAAAGGAAACATTTCGGGGAGGAGGGGGAGAAGAAAACAAAGGCAACAATACAAAATCGTCCAGTTTTGTAAAAATTTAGGAATTAGCTCGAGAAAAAGAACAGATACTTTTAACTCTCAGTATTTGTTGATAGAAAGTTCTATTGCAACATGTCTCGTTTTTTGTCTTCCGTTCCGTTAAATAGCAAATTTTTTCATTTATTTCTTAGCGACAACAGTTTGGGTTTTAATACCATTGCCGAGCGCATAATTAAATCTTTCAGCCTGGTGACCTAGAAAAAAAAAACCACAATGGGTGCGGTTAAACTTGCTTGAGATATCCCGTTTTAAGCTCAACACGATGTTACGATATCCCGATTTCAGCTCAACATAATGTTACGATATCCCGATTTCAGCTCATAATTGTTAAGCGAATGTCACGTTTTCAAAATTTTACGGGAATTCCCGTTTTCAGCTCAAAATATTATTGGGATGTCCCGCTTTTGATGAAAGATTTTATGCTGACCCTGTATAAAGTTGATGCCTACCTTAACGTAGGCCACAATCTTGCCGTCCCTGTATAAAGTTGATGCCTACCTTAACGTAGGCCACAATCTTGCCGTCCCTGTATAAAGTTGATGCCTACCTTAACGTAGGCCACAATCTTGCCGTCCCTGTAGTCCCCGACCCAGGGGTCGGGCTTCAGCAAGAAATCCGGGAATCGACAGTCGGCCTGCACACGCCAGTTGGTCGTCCAGAGGTAGAGGAGAGCCATCAGGGCGGCTCTGGGCTCCAGCACAGGCATTATGCTGATGGCTCAGATCTGAAAATGTATGAATTAATTAATTAATGAGTGAATGAGTGCATGAATGAATGACTCTCCCTTTGTGGGATTCAGGACCCCATTAGGAAAAGAAAGTAAAGGTAAATGTGACAGGATCGACTTTATTGTACCAGGGTTTACTCCATATTGCTCAGTCTATCTCCGCAGAACAGTCTGCTGCCCACCGAAGACTTCACACATAGCACGACCTCCGTAGCTCTGGTGACGATCCCCAGGGATGATCGTAAAAATTGCAGTCGTGATTGCGACGCCTTGAAACGAACCCACTACTTTCACAGCGCAAGGCAAACGACTTGACCACTTCGCCACAGAGAACCTCGCCTATAAGGGAGAACAGGGCGGGGAGAATGGACCTGTCCCCAAGCAACCATCTTGTAAACAGCGAATAATCAAGGTCGTTTCCCTGGAGATCGGAATGCAACTGCATGGGAAGTGAGGAACCAACAGTCTGCATACGAGTAAACCAAATCTGTAAAAACAGATGTGCAGGCAAAACTCACATTCTGGAACAAGATATTGATGTGGATTTAAACACGCAGTATGTCAAAGATGGGTAATTCGCACAGTGGCCTAAGTTGCTTCTATGAGGCAATCCTCACAAATAACTACTTTAATTGAAGTGACAGTCAGCAGCCGCGGTGAAGGGGGTAGACGCTTGACTGCCGAGAATGTGCTTTCTCTTGAATGTTATTTAATTATTTAAAAAAGAAGAACAAGAACAAGAAGAACAAGAACAAGAAGAAGAACAAGAAGAACAAGAACAAGAAGAAGAAAAACAACAAGAAGAAAAGAAGAAGAAGAAGAAATAGAAAAAGCAGAAGAAGAAGAAAAAGAAGCAGAAGAAGAAAAAAGAAGAATCGCAATACTTAACTAAAAGTGGAACATTACAGACAAAATAATAATATCCCCCCCCCCCCCCCCGCCCCAAATGTTGACATGCACCGCCATTACTCTTTGTGTGAGTGAGTGCTGTGCGCGTGCGTGACTGTGTGTGTGTGTGTGTTTTTTTTTTTTTTTCAATAAGTAATAAGCCATTAACAAAGTTAACATACACACATCAATCATTATACGCACGCACATATAGACACACAAGCTGAGCACACGTGCACACAAGCCAAGATGTGTTTACTGTGGCCTAGCAACAGCTTTGGTAAAACATTTGTGCTCTATCGGCCGACCAGTGAGAGGAATTTCCGGTACTGAACTCGATACTGGTGAAAAGTACTCGACTATAACACCGAACTAGCGGACACAACAAACGTGGACGAAATCGAAACCATGTTGTAAAATACACAAAGTCAAAGTATGCTCTAGGGTTTGGGTATAACGGCGAAAAGCTATTGTGTGCTCAAGAAGCGTTATCTTTGTTGAAGGGGGCAAGGTAATATTACAATTATTTAAAAATTATTATTATGTTCCGAATAGCAAAAAATTAACTGTGAAATAATATGTAATGTTAAAACCTATGTCTACATTTGAAGAAGAAAAAAGGCACACATATGAAGAAGAAGGTGAAGAGAAGAAGAAGGAGAAAAAGAAGACGAAGAAGAAGAAGAAGAAGAAGAAGAAGAAGAAGAAGAAGAAGAAGAAGAAGAAGAAGAAGAAGAAGAAGAAGAAGAAGAAGAAAAGAAGAAGAAGAAGAAGAAGAAGAAGAAGAAGAAGAAGAAGAAGAAGAAGAAGAAGAAGAAGAAGAAGAAGAAGAAGAATAAAAAAGAAGAAGAAGAAGAAGAAGAAAAGAAGAAGAAAAAGAAGTGGTAGAAGTAAAAGAAGAAAAAAAAAGAAGGAAAAGAATAAGAGTAGGAGGAGGAAGAGAAGAGAGGAAGAAGAAAAGAATAACAACTATAATCACAACAACAATAATAACTACTTCCACAACAGTAACAACAACAATAAAATCAACAACAACAACAATACTAACTACAACAACATCAACAGCCTGAGAACATCAGGATACAGAAAAAAGGGATTCAAACATGCCTGATCAGTTGCACGGGACATAAACCCACATACCTTACAGTAACCAGATATCTATGTCTACCTTCCCTCTACGACGCTTTTTTGGCACAAACAGGAGGGAACAGGAAGACAAGGTAGAACACCAACGATAATTAACTGTAAAAAATACCAATCATAATAACAAGAATAATAATAACTGTGTGTAATGACTTTTAGGGTGTGTGCAATAGCATCTCCGAGCCTGGGGTTTTAAGGTGGCATGGACAATGCTGTCGCCACGAACTGTACAGGTGTAAAAATAATGCTCCCCCCACCCCCATACCCCCATCCTAAAAAAGTGAAACCTTGGTTTTCGATAATTAGCACAATGCCCATATTTCTAACATTTATATTCACTTATCTAGAGAGGGAGGGAGGGAGAACGAACGAACCAACAAACTTTATTTTCAAAGGGTTACAAATTGGGCACGCAGGCCTGTCTGACATTCGGCCCTTTTAAGCACTCGTTTTTCAGAGTACCACTGCCTGTTATCTAAAATGCATGTTATGGATATAGAATAAAAATATACATTATAGAATATAATACATACATCATGTGTACACAGTCTTACACACTTTCCCATTCTCATACATGCACACTCATATACCGACATACCTAGCACATACACACATAATGCATACATCCATCCATCCATCCATCCATCCATCCATCCATCCATCCATCCATCCATCCATCCATCCATCCATCCATCCATCCATCCATCCATCCATCTATCCATCTATCCATCTATCCATCCATCCATTCATCCATCCATCCATCCATCCATCCATCCATACATACATAAACGCATCTACATATATACACACACAGAAAAGATACACACATACATTTATGGACAAATATGCACACACACATTCCATACATACACACCTACATATGCATGCATGCATACACACACATACAATCACATGTACAGACACCCACAACCACACATTTACACTCACATGAGAGAGAGAGGGAGGGAGAGAGAGAGAGAGAGGGAGGCAGAGAGAGGGAGGCAGAGAGAGGGAAGGAGGGAGGGAGAGAGAGAGAGACGTGAGATCAATAAACCGATGGAGAAAAGAGTGAACGCAAATATAACAATCAAGAAGGAATAAGCAGAAGGAAGTAGGTCAGGTGTCTTCCATCCTCATTATCTTGTTCCGCTTGAGCTAGTGCGAGGGGCAGTCACGTCGTCTCTGTCCATGCGTATCCATGTGTTTCTCTTCTTCTTTTATTCCCCCCTCCTGGATATTTTTGTTGCGTTATTTTTCACTTCGCATGTTTCTTCATGACACAGCTCAGTTGTGCACACTTGACTCCATCTTCCAGTTTTCTTTCCTTATTCACAACTTTATTTATCTCTATTTAAGCAGTTGCGCTGTAAAGAAGCGTCTCTATGTTCTAGTTGTAGTTCGTTCATTATCATTGTCGTCATCATTATTATCATCCTCATCATCGTCGTCATCATCGTCATCATTATTATCATCATCATCATCGTCATCATCACCATCATCATCATAGTCATCGTCATAACCGTCATCATTATCATCACCATCACCATTATCATCATCATCATCGTCATCATCACCACCATCATCATAGTCATCGTCATTATCATCATCATTATCATCATCATTATCATCCCATCATCATCAACATAGCCACATCATCGTCATCCTCCTCACCATCATCATCATGATCTTCTTCTTCATCATTAGTGTCCACTCTTACCGTTGAGCAGTGTGGGAAGGAGTTTTTCGAGATCCACCGTGTGATGGCCGTCTATAACTATTGTCATTCCGTGACGATGCAGAAGGTCTTGACTGACTGACTGACTGACTGACTGACTGACTGACTGACTGACTGACTGACTGACTGACTTTCTACCCCACTAGGACATCACACAAGCGACAAACACCCGATGACACAAAGTGCCACCATGCGGATGAGGATCGCCGTGGAGAGGCCCAGAAACCGCGTTCAAACAATTGGCCATATTTATGGCCTGCCTATATTGCGGCCCCTGGCAAAAGCCAGAGTGGGGCTTCAAATAACCAAAAATTACGTCCTGAAAAGGACGTAAGGAGTAGAAGGTCTTCGATGCCAGCAGTTCATATTCTCCCACGGCAGCGGTTCTCAACCTGTGGGTCGTGATCCCTTTGGGGATCGAACGACCCTGTCACTAGGGTCGCCTGAAACCACAGGAAAACATATTTACTGAAGCAGCAACGAAAATAATGTTATGGTTGGAGTTCACCACAACGTAAGGAACCGTATTAAAGGGTCGCGGCGTTAGGAAGGTTGAGAGCAACTGTAAGATCCTTTCATCTTTGCCCTTCGGTATGTTATCTTAAGATCTGATCACCTGTTGATTACAAACTCTCAATCCGGATGGGAAACCATCAAGGCAGATTCCGGACACCCGGCTTAACTTCTAAATAGGTTGTAAATTAGGCTCTCCGTGTGGGCTCACTGGCCTCATTGTGGGAGAAAACAAGAATAGACGCAGTGCCTCGCCAACCAGCATGTCGTAAGAGTCGACTGATTGGGAGCTTTCTTTGAAGTCAGAGCGCATCTGCCTAAGAGGCAAAGAACCAACAATCTGCAAACAAATAAGTCAGATCTGTACAACTGTTGTTGATGTGAATGCAACATTCAGGTACTGGAAAGTTCAAATTTGGATGAATAGCTAGAACTTTCTGCCGGAGTTTACAGCCGGTGAAGGGGAAGACGAAGAAGAATGATAGGGCACCACTAACGGTGACACCAGCCAGATCCTTACTTGAGTGCTCCGAGGGCAAGGATGTTTCTGACAGCAACAGAGACACAGATGTGCTGTAGAGATGTTGGAATTTGTAGATTCACCGTTGCGAATGCGCTCGGCAATTCTCAGTTGAGTTGAGTCTAGCTGGTTCAAGAACAGCCATCACAGCACTAGGGGCATTCCCTTGAGCGCTCTGTCCTCATCTTCAGCAGCCAACGCAGAGTTCCAACGCCAATGGCGACGGTAGCATTCTGATTATACGTTTGTCTTACCTTCCCTCTGAGCCTCGAGTATCGACCAGATCCCCTCGTCGCTGCCCGCTGCATAACTTTCGCCAGACTGCGGTGATCAATTTGCACCTTCGAATTGTACATTTTCATACACAAAGCCGTTGCCACGTCTGCCATTTCATGAATCAAAATTCCACCAAGTTGTGCAGAGCCAACCATTCTGTCCGCCTGTTCATTTCCCAACACACCGGCATACCTGCCAGAAAAGATCCAGACCATGCTCCCCACACATGACCTCTAAAGCGAAGCATGCCACGCTACACGTGAAGCATGTCATCCCCACCTTCGTCAGCATGCTTCCTGGGTCAGTTACAATCACAATCTGTGTGTGTGTGCTCGCGTGGGGGCGTGTGTGTGTGTGTGTGTGCGTGTGTATGTGGTGTTTTATAAGCTGCAGTGACCGCCTCCACCTCAGTTCCGAGATACCCGGTCGGAGTCCAGCAGAGAGCAACTTACAACAGATCGCTTTCCACATCAGCGCCGAGAACCGACCGTTTCAGGAGCAATGGCAAATTGTTCAACGTAAAATTGATCAGAAAACCCGAAAACAGCTAACACATACTGGTGTCAATGTGTCTTGCTTACTATAACCTCTCTCTCTCTCTCTCTCTCTCTCTCTATCTCTCTCTCTCTCTCCCTCTCTCTCTCTCCAGAAGTGCCGACACCAAGAAAACATGGGGGCGGCGGGAAGGGAGCTCAGCCTTTAGAGCTCTCCCTGCCTTGCAAAAATTGAGGTTATTGGTGGTGGCCCAAAGAGGCTTAATCCTAGTTTAAGAGCATAGTAAAATGCACAAGACACAATCACGCCCTAATATGAGTTTTTAAATATTAAAACAAATTTCGTACATGGGTTTTGGGATTCCATTGCGGGAAAAACAAGAACAGACCCACTACCTCCCGAAAAGCATATCGTAAGAGTCGACCAATTGAGGGTTTTTTCGAAGTCGGAGTGCATCCGCCCGAGAGGTAAGGAACCACCAGTCTGTATACAAATCAGCCAGATCTGTAAAACGGATGTACACGCAACACTCAGGTTCGGGAACAGGACTAGTGTCCAGAAATTGATGAACCACCAGAACCTCCAGCCGAAGCTTACAACGAGTGAACGCAAAAAAAAAGACAAAAATTAAAATTAAAAATCATCCCCCTCCCCCCCCCCCCCCCCCCCCCCCACTTTTTCCCCCGAAAAAAAGCACTCTAAGCCAGCAATGAAAAAAATATGTAACTTACAGAAAAAAAAAAAACCAGCACAAAAAAAAAAAAAAAACAGCTTGTAGATGGAAAACTTAGGTAGACAAAAACCACCCCAGTACGTTGAAAAATAAACCGTTATAAAACCAGACAAATACGGTTGAAAAAAAAATAATGAACACAAAATCCAGCCAGTACATGGACAAACTTAACAAATGCAACATTTTCCTAAAATCCCAAAAAGCCCAATAAACCAGCCAAAAGAGGTCTTAAAACATAACTGATTGAACAGCAACGCATCCATCTCCCCTAGCTTGCAGGACTCACACACCCCGCGCATTCTCGCTTTGTATACCCGTGTGTGCAAACTCACACGCGCTAGGCTAGATACCCATTGTGGCGACAAATATCCCAGTTAGTTGCCGCGCATTTATCCAACATACCTGACCGTGGGTCGGCTCAGTCTTTGTTTAAATTGTAATTTGGCATAACTAGCGAGCCTCGATTCTCATATTTGTGTAGCAATTTGCTTCTGCACCAACCTAGTTTACAATGTAAAGTTGTTTGTATTGGTAATGAAATCGTCGTATGCGTTCTGTTTTGCATTTTGTCAAAGCCCAGTTTGGTCTAATGGTGTGATTTCTGTAGGTTTTCTATAGTCGGTCTACAAGTGTGGGGTGGGTCGCGGATCTGGGAGGTCAGGGTACCATGAGCCCTCTTTCTCAACACCCCACACATTTTAGGGAGCTCAGCT